AAATGATCTGTCCGATCTTCCGAGGCGCCCGACCGAGCCTCGTGTCCCGTGATCACACCAGGCTTTAGACGGCCTCCTAATTTAGCATGGATCGTCACAACATCGGGAGATTATCCGACTAAAAAATTTTATTTTATTGTTACACATACTATCATTGTCAGCTCGGTATAATGGATTCTACAACAGAGAGTGATAAAAAGAAAATGGCCACTTTTAAATCGCTGGTAAAATAGCAAATTTTTAATCGATTTGTTTTAAGATAAAGAGCTTGGCTTAGAAGCATTTATACAGGGTATTATAGAACCATTATGTCAGGCATGTGAGCAGCTCAAATACAAAGTCCCAACAGAGATCCAAACTGAAGCCATCCCATGGGCGTTGCAAGGTAAAAAATCCATGCTTAACGTGTTTGTACTTAGCTTTGTTAAATTTATTCGGCATTTTGTTAATTAGGTCGAGACATAATCGGTTTGGCACAGACTGGCTCAGGCAAAACCGCCGCTTTTGCCTTGCCCATCCTTCAAGCATTGTGGGAGGCACCACAAGGCCTATTTTCTTGCGTTCTGGCTCCAACGAGGTATGCCTAAACCGTACTTTTGGAGGATGATTGCGCATAAGATCAACTGTTGTTAAAACTACTCATTTGACAAAGAGAATTAGCATACCAAATATCCGAATCATTTGAATCTCTGGGTTCTACAATTGGTGTTCGATGTGTTGTTATAATTGGTGGAATGGATATGATGTCACAAGCAATCGCTCTGTCCAAAAAACCCCATATTATTATAGCTACTCCCGGGAGATTGCATGATCACCTGGAAAACACAAAAGGATTTAGTTTGAGAAACTTGAAATATTTGGTAATTATCTTTTGTTATTTATCATAAAATTATTATTAATGTGAGCGATTGATCGACATATGTTATTCGGACCAGGTTATGGACGAAGCTGATAAATTATTGGATATGGATTTTGGACCAGTTATTGATAAAATTTTAAAAGTTATCCCTAAAGAACGTCATACTTATCTCTTTTCTGCTACCATGACAACTAAAGTAGCAAAATTACAGCGTGCTTCTCTAAATAATCCGGTCAAGGTTGAAGTTTCTTCAAAGTAAATACTTAATATTGTGCTCCGTTCATTTGTACTCCTTGGTTAATTTTATTAATTTCAACTTATTTATGTTTATTTTTTTAATCTAGATATTCAACAGTATCAACTTTATTGCAATATTATCTATTTTTTCCTCTTAAACATAAAGACTGCTATTTTGTATACTTATGTAACGAACTTGCGGGAAACTCTATAATAATATTCACCAGGACGTGCAATGACACACAGCGTCTTGCGTTATTATTAAGGAACCTTGGATTTCCTGCGATTCCTTTACATGGGCAATTATCACAATCTAAAAGGTTGGGTTCTTTAAATAAATTTAAAGCAGGAAATAGAAATATATTAGTGGCTACCGATGTTGCTAGCAGGTAAAAATAGCGATTTTCTTGTAACGCTGTTCGATCTTTCTTGATAATAATTATTTTTACAATTCCATAGAGGCCTAGATATACCACTTGTAGATGTGGTAATTAATTATGACATTCCATTAAATAGCAAAGATTATATCCATAGGGTAGGACGAACGGCTCGTGCAGGAAGATCTGGTAAATCCATCACTTTGGTTACCCAATATGACGTAGAGTTCTATCAACGTATTGAACAAGTAATCGGAAAGCAGATGGAACTATTTCCAATCGGTAGTAAAGAAGACGTTTTGTTGCTTCAAGAACGTGTTTCTGAGGCACAGAGAATTGCTACTTTAGAAATGAAGGAAGAACATCAACAAAAGAAGGGAAGCAAAAGAGTTAAAAGCGAAGGAAATGACGATTATAAAGATAGGGAAGATAGAGATCTTGTTGTGTCTAATAAGTTGAGTAAAAAAGCAAAGAGAATCAGGAGATGAATCAATTGATCCTTAAAAAATTCTGTATAATAGATAATTTTGAATCGTGCGGTTAAAAGTGGTTCGAGCCTTAAGTAAATTTTCGAACCTTATTTTCTATTTAATAATACAATCTAATGCGTTGCTATTTTTGAAAAGTAAATATATAAGGATTTTTACATATAATTTTTTCGACCTTCTCCAGACTATAATGAACTAATGTTTTGAGCTATAATCGGTTAACCGACCCGACCGAATAAATTTCGGATAACCGGTTGAGCAGATTCTTAATCGGTTGACCCGGTACAACTGGTCGAGAATCGGGTAACCGGTTGATAGGATCGATAAAGTATGTAAATGACCAAGAGAGAGCAAAGATTCTGAAAAGGTCCGAAAAGAAACTGAATGAACATAAGAGACGAGCAAGATTGAAACAAAAATTTGTGAAGCTTTGAAAAATTTCTGAGGTAAGAACGAGAAGTAGAAATTATTAATCTCAACCGGTTGTAATTGGTTGACATAAAATAATTCGATTCGGTTAACTGATTGAGGATATTTTTCTCAGTTCAAATTACTATAATAAACATATAATCTACTTCTGGAGTGCTTTGGAGTGGGTTATATATGTTTTATTATAGATATGCTTGTTACCTAAATCTTAAACTATTATAGTTTGGTTTTGTTTCAAATTCCAAACTGTTATAGTTTAAATTTGTTTGTTTCAAATTCTAAACTAGTGTTTTAAGTTGGTTAATCAATTAATTGTTAACTATAGTTACAATAAATTGATTTTTTTATTATGTATTTAAATTTGTTAAATTAAAGAAAATAACATGAATCAGTTCAAATATATAAGTGAAATATTTTAGAATTTAACTAGTTAATGATTTAATTAATTAGTTGTTTTAAAATTTTTTAAATTAATCAGTTGAAAAGTTATAAACTAGTTGATTATTTAATTAATGATTTAGATTATTATTTTAAATTTAATATTTTAAGTTTTGTAAAAAGATTTAAACATTGTTTAGATTTGGTATTTTTGTTAAGAATTGTTTCTATATTGCTATTTGAAGTTTGTTGTTTATTTGAAACATATTTGTTACTTTCTTAACATTAATATGTATTTTATTTTGGCTTAAAAGACTAATATTTTTTTTGTTTGTTTTAAAAATATTATCTTTTTTGATTTTTTTTTTTTTTTTTTTTTTAACTTAAGCAGTCACACTAGTACTTTATTAAGATTCTTGGAATTACTTTTGCAATTACATAGATTTTCCTAACAACTAAGTCTAGCATTACCTGGCCACCCAACGGGTACCCAAGTGCAATCTGCCACACTACTTCTAACAGAAGTAGGCCACTTGTCTGACTACTTAAAGTCTGTAGTGAAAGGGTCTTCTCCCTTTCACGACAAGTCCCAACATTGTCTTCTTAAATTCTTCATTAATTCTATCTTTTTTCTCTTTTGCTTGTTTCTTTTCTTCTTCAATCTTCTGCTGATTAGACTTTTCTTTCTTCTTTGGATTTTCTTTCTTTACTTCTTTTTTCTTTATTTTGGTTGTTATGCCTTCTTTTTTCTCCCATTCATTAACCTTTTCATACCGTATTCTCCAAACTTGTTCATAGAATGTGTCCCATATTGTTTTTGCTACTGTTTCTATAAACTGTTGTCTTGCTTTTGTATTTAGGAGCTGTGTTAGTCTGTCTTGTGTTTTTTTCTGAATTAGGTCTTTGATTAATGCTTCTCTCATCTCTATTTCCTTTTCTTCACTTTTTCTGAAAAATGTTATATATAGTACATATGGTGAGATGCAAATTTTTTTTTTTCCTTTAAACCCTTCTAGACTGTCATAATAGTCACTTTTTGAATTCGTTTTCACAAGCTCTGTTGTCCTTTGCATGAAGCTAGATGTGACTGTGTTTCTTTAACTTTATCTTGGCATACTTGGCATTCTGTTGTTGTATATATATCTGGCCTTCTTCTATTAAGTTCTTCTAGAGTCGGAAGTTTATCTATCATACACTTTATAAATGCACATCTTCTTGTACTGCTTCTTCTTGTTGTGCAGTGCACTCCTTTAGTTCTTTTTAACCTTTTCCAAAAATGTGTCCAATTATAAATTGTGATTTCTGTCTTTAGTTTCAAACTTCTAATTGCTTTTGTTTCTTTCCATTCTGCTCCTAGTCTTGCATTCATTATCAATTTGCATAACAATCTTGCGAGTATGTCAGTTCGTTTGTTTTCCCATTTTAGGCAGTACTCTATCTCTTCACAACTGACTTTCTCTATTTGTATTACTTTCTCACTTGTTGTTCCCTTTTTTGCAAGACTATCAGCTTTTGTCATTCCACTTATTTTTACTATGACTTTTAACTTTAACTAACTCTATCTATATATTCTTTGTATTAATAAGATCTATAATCTTCATTATCTATATCACATTTTTCTTTTTAAGTACTTTTATTCTATCTATTTGCTCTAAACCTCTGCTAATGTTTCTAATTGCTGCATTACTGTCCGTATATATTTCTACTTGTTTTTCTCTTGGTATTGTTAAAATTGCTGCCCATATTGTTACTAATTTTGCTATTGTTGATGTCATCCATCCTTCTAGACTTAGTGATGTCTCCTCTTCTGGCCACTCTTACGTTTCATTTGTTTGAACCCATCCTATCCCCATACTGTTGCCTCGTGTTTCTTCTTTGGTCTCTATATTTGTAGCATCATCTGTATATATAATATATTTGGTTTTGTTTCTTGATAAGTTTCTTTTTAATGTTTTTAAAATTACTTGTTTAACATTCTCATTTAGTTTTGTCTCTTAATTATTTCTATTTCCAATCCTTTAAGTATCATTAGTCCTTCGAGTTTCTGCTCATTGTTTTTCAAACTTTCTGTTTCTGCTTTTTCTATTAACTGATCCATAGCTATCTTGATCTTACTATTTCTCTTTTCTATCGATGTGTTAGGAACTACTTTAATCTTGTTGTTTGTTCTTATCTATTGCCAGCAATTATCTTCTTGCTGTCTTTCTTTTTTTGTGTAACCATTGCATCTGCTAATTTATGTTGCTATTTCGTTCTCTTTATTTTGCATTTGCCAATACTCTAGTAAAACTTTTTTCTTTTTCTTCTTTATTATCTTTCCTAGTTGTCTGTTTTCTTGTATATCATATATTATCTATTCTTTTCTTCTTTTATCTTTTGATATGGCCTCCTATACTGTTTTCATTGCTTGAGTATTATGTCTGTTTGTCTTAAGGTGTTCTTTGATTCTTCTATCTGTTGGTTTCTCGAGCACCTTGGACTTTATTTCTTTAAACCATTCTGCTTTTTTTCCTCTACTTGATTGTTTACAAAAGTTTTTAAATTGCTGCCATGTAATCAGTTTCTCACCTTTACATCAAGTAGCTGATTTAGGTAAATTATCTCTGCTTTATTTATTTCTATTCTACTTCTTTTCCACAATTGTGTCTCTACTAGTTCTCTTATTTTAGTACTATATCTAAATGTTCTCCACAAGTTACTCTTTGTCCTTATGCTTATTCCTAACTCTCTTGCTTTTATTATTGTCAGACATGCTAAGTTGTTCTTCCACCATACTTTGTTAACTGATATTTCTTCCAATTTCCAAACATCTTCTGTTAAGCCTACTCTCTGACAGCCTTGTGTTATTCTTAGTTTTGTTAACTGACCTAGGCTGTCTTGTTTGTTCAATTTTGACAGTAAGCCACTTACTTGCTTTATTACTAACTCTTGTTGTAGTGTTCTATATCTACCGAGATCTTTATATTCTATTATGCAGTTTTCTACCGTTCTTTGCAAACTGCTTTTCTGCTTTGCTAAACGTATTATTGGTTGATGTATTTTCTGCATTCCCTTTTCTGAGATTTTAGTTAACTGAAGCATATAGCTTAGTTTTGGTATTATTACCATATTGTTTATATATGTGATCTGGCTTGTTGTCATCTTTTTGTACTTGATATCTTTTATCATCTGACTAACTATTCCTTTAGCTTTTCTTTTAACTAGTACTTCCCACATTCTGTTGTTCAGCCATAT